CATCCGCCTACAAAGTGACGTTATAGTTCCCCCACTCTATGGCTATTATAAGTTTGTATTTGGCCACTTGGCAGTGCCATTTCCTGTTACCCACCACACCTATTTACAGTAGATGTGAAGAAATCCTACAACAGGCACTTCTTCAACAAAAACAAACATTAGTTCGTACCATCCGTATGATACCAACACGTCATTGACAAACAGTCTGCTACAGATATGTTCAAATGAAGAGGTTTCAGTGCAGGAAGTCGGTTCTTGGACACTGAAGGATGTTTATTGTGGAAAGGCCTTTGTGATATTTGGGTGGGGTGGTCAAACTCGGCTTTAAAAAGAAGACACTATTCAAACTTAACGAACTTGTTTTGAATCCCTCGCCTCCTGAATGGCGAAGCATTCCATCGCTTAGAAATAGAGAGAAGAACAAACAGCGGAAGTGATGCAAGAAATTCTGTTCTTTATCTGGCATTCCCAGCCCTCACCTGCTGAACCAATCACACCCCCTCTTCCCCCTGAAGCCTCCTCAACTTCGAGCTTTGACCACCGGCCGAGTACGTTTTTAGGAGAGGAAGCCATTCATCTGAAGTTCTGGGTTCCTGTTAGAGCGCTCAGGCAAAACACTGCTTAGCAAGCTACGTTCCCGCGCCGGACGATTATTAAGGCTATGACCTTTTACACGGTATACAAGGGTTTCTTCACACTTCTGAGAAGAGCCTGAGATCTCCTGAGATTATATGTAATGTGTTTTGCAACCAGTCCAATCAAAGTAATGGCTGTTATATCACACAACTGAGTCAATGAGTTGAGACTTCTTGCACTCAGTTTAAGCTATTCTTCCCATCTTCAGTTGTACTTCCAGCACAGTCGCAATACTGGATAACTTGCATACTGTTGTGTTTTTAAAACCTTGCATTGGTGCAGTAATCCATCAGAACAGACCCTTTAAAAAACCATCTACTTTGTCATCTACTCATCTATTATCTCTGTTCTTGCTTATATGGAACGTATTGTGGCATTTGTCATGTTGTAGCATTCATTATTTGTATGTTTTAAAATAAGTGGGTGTTCCTAGACTTTCGCAGTACGTGCACTTGAAGAGCTCAAGATGATTGAAGACATTTTTTGAAGAAATTCGGAAAATAAAATAGCATCAGCCGCCCTTGGATCTGCAATTTGATGCCACATTTCCAGTCAAATGTCACATTTTACAATGTACAGTACTGCAGATCAAAAACACATTTAGGAATTTGACCAAACTTGATTTGGGATCTGATGCCCCTTTGTGGTCACATTTGCCATCAGCAGTTCTCAACTGGTGGGTCACATTACCTGAAAATGTGTAGCAGGTCTGTTTTTGAAAGGATTGCAGACAGTAGGCTAAAAATAATGTTTATACACTCTTAAAAATAAAGGTGCTTCACGATGCCATAGAAGAACCTTTTTGTCTAAATGGTTCCATAAAGAACCTTTAACATCTGAAGAACCTTCCTGTTTCACAGAAGGTTCTTTGTGGCGAAAGAAGGTTCTTCAGATTATAAAAAGGTAAGAAAGAGATGGTTCTTTAAAGAACCTTTGACTGAATGGTTCTTTGTGGAACCAAAAATGGTTCTTCTATGGCATCGCTGTGAAGAACCTTTTAAGCACCTTTATTTTTAAGAGTGTATTAGTATTATTTATTATTTTATACTTGTATAATATTTCATAATATTTGTTTTTACTTTATATTGTTATTTTTTATTTCTTAGAATTTTAAATCCATTCATCAGTCATTTTTTAAAACATTTTTATTTAGCTTTATTTCATTTTTAGTAATTTTAGTACTCCAAGTTATTCCACTTCATAAACATTTCTAATTTTCATTAAAAATGGTCCATCTTATATCTATTTCAGGTTTGTTTCAATTACAATTTTTAATGGTTCAATATATAGTTTTAATATTCAAATATTTTTTAATAGTTTTAGTTAACAATAACACCACTGGCTAATACAAATAATAAAATGCATAACAGTTAAGATGGCAAAATAAATAAAAGGAGAAAACACTGATCAAACTATGATATACAGTAGTAGAAGTACAGAAACAGGTCAAGTAGCATGCACTAATCTAAGCAAGAACGATAAGTTAAGACGATAAACAGGACAAATAGAACCATTTTAAAATGACCTTTAATTTGTTAAACTTCTACATAAAAACTGCCTAGTTTGACAGACATACAATTTTGACTTTTACAATATGAAGGATTTGAATTGAACTGAAACAAAACTCAACTCAATGTCTATTATACTGGTTAGCATTTGCAAAAAGTCACAAGCCTTTCACACTTGATTTGGCAGTTTTATGTTAATGAGGTCTTCGAAGGAAGGGATCCAGCAAGTTCAAAAGCACAACATACAGAAAAAACAGACATTTCAGCTCTGCAGTAGTGTTTCTTCATGAACGGATATGACAATATTCGTCACATTCAGAACCTATTATTGAAGAGCAGCCCAAATGTATCCTGAATGAGGTAAATACTTGTGTTTAACATCAAAAATGAAATCAGAATGATATTGACAGGGTCCAATATTAACAACTCTATTCTGCGATATTTTTATTCAAAATACATTTTCGTTCCTATGACAATGGAATTATTACGCTGTTTTTTCCCCATTTTATATTGACAGAAAAACTACTAAGAACAGTTGTTATTTGGTTTCTTATATTTTGGTGGTGCAAGATATATAAAACATATAGTACTAGAAGAAAAGATCAATCTTAGTAATATGGATTCAAGCATTTATTTGTCTTTGAATCACAAATAAATAACTTAAAACCAGCACGTTTTATAAACTTAACCCATTAATTACATCACATTTCATAATAGTTACCAGCCAGCAGGCAAGTAACCTTTTATTTACTCACCAAAGCCAGTTTTTTACTTGCATGTGGCCTTGGTGATTGATTGTTAATCTTGGACCCTGGATAGCAATCATTCAGAGACTCGACAAAAGAATCTAAAACTGTGTAAACCATTGAAAAGAATAACTTAGGGGGGGATGTGTAGACACAAGACCATGCATATATTTTCCAAAAGAAATAAAACACTTAAGAAGATAAAAGTAGAGAAGAAAAAAACTAAACAGGCACAAACACAATTGAAAAAGCTTAAGTTCAACCGTCAGAAACCGAAGGCTTGGACCCCCTAAGACTGGCACACACACAGAGACAGGGCAAGCATGCATGCGTCGAAACACAGCACCAGCTGAGGACCACCATCAACATCTACTGGACTGCACCACTACAGCTACACCATACACAGCCACATCCACATCCACCGCGCCGAGAGACAGAGAATGAAAGGAAAAGAGAGAGAAAGAGGCTATTCAGATACTATTAAGTTACACTTATTAATCTGGGATTTCATAAACGGATTCTGATGGAATCCAATTATATGATTATGCAACAGTTGGTTGCAGTCCTCTAATCTGATTGGCTAGAGTATAATAGCAGTGAGACTTTTTCATGTTTGTCTGTGTTTCAGCAGGGCCATAGACATTGATAATATTTAGAAATGGCCAAATTGCCTCTCCAATATATGATAGTGATGCTGCTCAGTTTGTTGTTAGGATGAAAAAAAGTTGTAAAAATTCAGCAGTCTAATATCAAATCAAAGCAGGCAGGCTTTATTTCACAGATACCGAATGAGAATTACAGTGTGACGCTTCAGTTTTATGGGAGTTAAGTAGCTAAATAAGGCTAAATATTTCATACATTGACTGTTTTATGTTTTATGATAGAACAACAGTAATATCCTGTGATGCAAACTACTGGACTTTCAAATTTGACTGTTTTTGGTTTGAATATTGGATGAAACATTTACATGATTCATGAAACTCATAGCTGAATGTGGCGAGACAAGAAACATTTTGCCATTTTGTTTTCAACATATTGTGCACACATTCACTACTAATTGTATTTTAAAATGCAGTTCGTTCAAAATAGTTCAAATTAATTACAAAACGTTCTTTGATCTTGTTCTTTTCCCTTAAATCCATTTGAATCATTTACTTAAGTCCTTAAGATAAAACATTTTTTCAAAGGTCTTTTGCATGGTTGTCTTTGCTTTAAAACAAAGTACACTGTAAAAAAATCAATTACTTCAGTCTTTCTACTTAAAAAAAAATTTCCCATACAATTCAATGTGTTACTTGCCATTTCTTTGTACAAAAGAAATACATACATACATAATTTTAGTTTGCAGTGAAAGTGAGTGGCATTTTCTTTTCTTTTATGGTTTTTCTTGCAAGCATCAACTATTACTAATTTGAATCAGCTTACACACCATTTGTGATCCTGGACCACAAAACCAGTCATAAGGGTCAATTTCTCAAAATTGAGATTTATACATCATCTGAAAGCTGAATAAATAAGCTTTCCATTGATGTATGGTTTGTTAGGACAATATTTGGCTGAGATACAACTATTTGAAAATCTGGAATCTGAGGGTGCAAAAAAAATCTAAATACTGAGAAAATCGCCTTTAAAGTTGTCCAAATGAAGTTCTTAGCAATGCATATTACTAATCAAAAACTAAGTTTTGATATATTTACAGTAGGAAATTCACAAAATATCTTCATTGAACATGATCTTTCCTTAATAAAAGAAAAATCTATAATTTTGACCCATACAATGTATTTTTGGCTATTGCTACAAATATACCCCAGCGACTGAAGACTGGTTTTGTGCTCCAGGGTCACATTTAGCTACAAAGTTGGCTAACAGTTTACATTTATAACAAGGGTCTAGCAGGGGGTGCAATGAAGTATATGGGATAGTTAGGGTATTTGTGAAATAATATATTGTATCCGGAATCTGGATTAGATTAGATTTACCAAATTAGCTGAAAAACAGTTTCTGGAAATTGTACTGTGGCAGTATGGGAAAAAATTTGATTCAGGTGTGATTCAATTAATCTGTGAAACACTCATTTCAGCCTGTCAAAACAGGGCAGATGCAGAAGAACGCAAAAAAGAAACAAAAAATCACACAAGACATGTTAGAGATGTTGCACAAGAACTCCTGTACAATCGTTGATTCACAGACAGCAATGGGTTAAAAACGTTCAGTAAACCACGGAAGCTCAATGTCAGAGCGCAGCCCCACTATGAAGTGTGAATTAAAGACAGGGACAGTATAAAACCATACAAAATTCTTCATATATTTAGCTTGCGACACTATCAAGCATATTTAACAGCTGCTGATAAAGCTATGGACAAATGATGAATCTGATAAGCAGCAATAAATAGCCTGTCTGGTTTTATAGCATGCACATAGAGCGGTATTCCTGCTGTAAGCATTTCTAATACACACTGCGACGACCACCTGGAAAATTTTTATTTAACTTCACGTTAACTGTTAGTTTTCCATGCTGGTCAGTGTATGAATAACATGCATCTTTTGAATTATTGCTTCAACGCTCACTACACTTAAAAGGCATCGCGTTAACTATGGGTTCATGAGTATATTTTTTTACTTCTAAAGTTGATCTTTTTTTTTTACAGCACTAAATGCAAAGCTAGCAGAAGTCTCAAAGACGCATGCATTAATTACTTAAGCGCTTCACATTTAATGATATGCACTGAAATTGAATGTGGGGAAAGAAAACAAAATCCTGTTTATTCAGGATTTTCTGAGGTACAAGGATGTACACCAAAGTAAACGTACCTGAGAAAATATTCTATTCCATCTCTCAAAAGCAAAAGATTCTCTCAAGTCAGACATTTCGACGTCTTAAAAAATTATTATAATTAAAAACACATTTTGACTATAGTTCAAATGCAGGATTGCTGCTTATTCTGTAGCTTTAAGGTCAAAATACTAGTAAGTAATTACTTTTTATTGCCAGAAGGTTTCAGAATATTTGACATTTTCTAATCATTTCATTCTTAATCTAAAAGTATCTGATTGCTTGTAGATCATTAAAAATATGAGCATGAGTATCTACATATCTTGGTTATAGCAGAAAACCACCATAATGCCAAGCTATAATGCTAAATATGAACATGATATGTTGGTAAAGCAGCCATTTCCATCAGATATATCAAAATTACACAGCAGCTGTCTTTATTGCCTAATTAACTGTACCCTTAAGGATGCAGAACTTGTTTAACACTGATAAGGTCTAAGGGAGCAATAATTAAAAACGTAAATAAGGACCAAAACAGAGAAATGACACATGGCATCTTGAACTTGTAAAAACAGGAAGTGCGCTGCTCAATGAGAACGCTTTCATGATGTTCTACTGTATGTACAGTTAAACAGCGTTCCGGGTGTTCAGTGATGTGGGATTATATGTATGTCATAGCACCTTTGGCATTCATGTCCAAAAAGAGTTTGATGTAGGATGTGGGCACGTATCCTTCCTCATCCTCGTTTTTGCGGACACGGGTCCAACCGTCACCCTTATCCTCCTCGATTACGTACAACATCTCACTCTCGGCCATGGATATGGTACCTTCGTTCTGACCTACAGACATAATAACTGGCAATGTGGGTTTCTAAAACAAGCATACCAACTTATAAAAATTACAATAAAAAAAGTTATTATTTTTTAATTCTAACTTTTATTATTATATCAGCCTTGTATGGCTGTCAAAATGGCTGAAAAACTAAATTCGAATTTTGTACTTAAATATTATCTATATTCGAATTTAAAAGGCATAATTTCAGTTAGGGGGAAAAAAGCTTTTAGCTTCTCGAGACCACAAGAGGGCGCATCGAGCAAAATATTACTAATGCATGTTTCTTCAAAGCAATAAAATAACACGGCTATCTTTGAAAAAAGTGCATAATGTTTAAAATAATGCTTATAAACCATATATAATTAATTAAGTTGCTTAAACAATTAGAAACAAAACAGCATCATGTATGGTATATATATATATAGTATAACACAAAGGACCGAAAACCAATCACAAATAGTACTTTTTTCATTTAAAAGCATGAGATGCAGTGGGATGGGGAAAAACCGCCATAAAGTCTCGAGACATGTTTTTTCAAAGTTGAACTTTCATTAATTTTACATGGCTTTCTAAACATGCGGCTCTCTTGTGCGAGACACGAGTGCAACGGTGATAGAAGACCCTCTAGAAAATGCGATAAAAATGCATTCCGTGTGAATGGCCTGGTTTCAGTTTTGATGCAAACAACATTTTCTCCGCATTCATACGGAGCCCCGCACATGACATGCAAGGAAAAAAAAAAATTGTGTGCATGATTTACTAATTCGTTCCCTCGATGTACTAAAACATGCACACAATTGCTATTTCGTTCCCTCGATTTCGTTCCCTCGATGTACTAAAACGTGCATACGATTACTATTTCGTAAATAGTAAATCTACCACACGATATAGCCTACTATTTCTTTCCTGCATGACATGTGCGGGGCGCCGTACTTTCATCCTAAACGACTTACAAAAAGTAAATAATAATAGTGTAAAAAGGTGTTTTTACTCATTTTTACAATTTTTTTTAGCTATTTTTGTTTTAAAAAACAAGTTATTTTTGTAAGTTATTTTATTTTCAGTTAAAAAAATTGTTTTTATAGTTTTTTAATTCATTTATTTATTTTCAGCTTTTCATTTTGTATATTTTTGCCATTTATCCATAATACATTTTCTACATAAATTTAGCGGCAGTCAAAAGTTTAGACACACTTACTATGTCAAATTAGTTTTGTAAACAAATAGAAATTGGATTTAGTAGACCGAAAACTTATTTAAACTTATTATCCCAAGAATTGCAAATATGCTCCAGAACCATTTAACAATCATAAATTCCTGACATAATTTTTAACTGATTTTCTTTCTGGAAGATGATCCAGTTAGCCCTGAACACCTCTCCACACAACCATTCACACCTCCAGCAACCCCCCTCTCCCCCACACCTGCACGATTATACAGTTAATGTTAGACTATCTCATATGAGGTTATCAAAACAAGATCAAGTATTAATAGCATTAAACAGCAAGTTTGTTTTTTGACTTAAGTCCACTTGTAATGTTAGTAATGTAAGTTTAGCTAATGTCAAAAAGTTCAGAGATGCATCCACAGTTATTTTGAACATGAGCCCTTTAAAGACATGTAAGTGTCAGTCATATTTATATCATCCCATTCAGTTCATCGTGTTTGGTAGCCCTGCTGTCTAGGGACTGAAGTACCTCTCTCGGTTTTGACCGTAGTTGTTTGTAAGAGGCGTGTTGCCCTGCGAGTCAAAATGACTGCTCTGTCTTCTCTGAGACTCGGATCCCTTTTCAAGTAACTTCCTCTCCACCTCCGTCAACCAGCCCTGAAAACAATTTGTAATCATTAATGATCAAATAGCATAATTTACTTTCATTATAAGTCTTTTGGATCTCAAAATCCATATTTTAAACCAACTTTTGAAGGTATCTGAGGACTGAATTTGTGGGGGCCTCACCTCAAATTTATGTGCCTCAAGCTGCAATTTTTCCAAGCTTTGTGTTATTTCTTCTAACCGTGGATCTACACTGTCTGGATCCCCCAAGTGAGGATTCTTAATGTAAACATCTTTCATTTTAGTCAGGGCATCCCTGCAAATAATTACAAGAAGAAGAGTTAGTACAAACAAGAGGCATGTGCATATGAACTGCACCTTGTTGCATCTTGTCTGGTCATGTATATTACAATTATGTACGCTATCATTTTAAAGTTTGGGGTTGGTAAGTTTTTTGTTAATGTTTTTTAAAGAATTCTCTTATGCTTGTCAAAGCTTAATTTATTTGATCAGAAATACAGTAAAACATGTAATATTGTGAAATATTATTACAATTTAAAATAACTGTTTTTATTGATCTCACATTTTAACATGTAATTTATTCCTATGATGCAAAGCTGAATTTTCAGCATCGTTACTTCAGTCTTCAATGTCACATGATCCTTCAGAAATCATTCTAATATGTTGATTTGCTGCTCAATAAATATTTCTTATTATTATCAGTGTTGAAAAAAAAAGATTCTTTGAAGGGACAGTTCAAAAGAACAGCTTGTAATTGTAACAGTACGTTAAAGTGTCTTTACTGTCCCTTTCAATCAATTTAAGGTATCCTTGCTGAATAAAGATATTCATTTCTTTAAATAAAATATTACTGACCCCAAACTTTTGAGCTGTAGTATATGATATTAACAATTTGGTGCATGATGATGAGGTATTTGGCAGAAATAAAGGCTGATACTATTACCAGCATGGCAGCTACTGGATGATTTACCTCTGATCCATCTCTTTCTGGATGTCCTTGTTTATGTCATTGAGCTTGGCTTGTAGTTTCTTCCTCCTCTGCTCAGGGGGCAGATGACTATAGTCCTCCTGGCCTGTTCCCTGCAGACAGACATGCCAAAAGTTTGACTGTCAAACCTTATTTACATATATTTAAATTGTATTTTTCTTCAAGCGTTGAAACTGGAAAAATTGTCAAATAAAAATACAATAAAATTGGTCAAGCCAAAGTCTTGTGGATTTTATAGCAAGTCAGACTTACCAGCTTTAGAGAAAGCTGTGAATGTTAAGACAAGAAAGACGTGTTAGGGGAAACGGTTAATACACACAGTTATGTAGCTGTTAAGACAGAGATGCTTAGGATGGTGTTGATAAAAAGCATGAAAACAAGACATGTTACACATCCACACATCACTTTATAACCAAACTGAGCTGATAGTGCTTTATCCTTCAGAGTCGTCCAATCAGATCCACATGAAAGACACCGAGGTCTCGTGAACTTACCCCACGTTTCAGGCTCCGCAGGCAGTGCATTTTGTGTTTGGTGCCCATGAAGCCGTTGAGGCGCTGGCTGAGGGGCTCCTTGGGCTGCTGTGGGGACTGGGGGCCGTTGGGGAGGCCGTCCGGGGACGGGGATGTGGGGGGATGAAGGTGTGATGGAGCACATTGAGAAATGGAATGGAGGAAGACAGGAAGAGAGAAGATGAGCAGAGACAAAATGTCAAGGGCACAGAAAATGTTCAGAAATTCTTGCATTACAAAAAAATCATTGCAAACTTTATTAAAGGGAATGCACATCAGTTTTTTGTAAAAAAACACTTTCTTTTATCCAATCTAAATATTTCCAAGTTTAAAAGTCTGGTGCCATCAAAACAATAACTAACATATAATCCCGTCTTAATAATGGCTGCAATATAACAAAGAGTGAAAAATTTAAGGGGGTCTGAATACTTTCCGTACCCACTGTATATATATATATATATACACACGTGGCATCCATAACCCTATTATTTTCTACAGTTGGATGTTTTTATGGCGGTCTACTTCATATGGCCAGCACACTATCTCTGAAAGCACACACACACACACATACAAGCACACACACACACACACAGTCCAGAAGCCACAGAGAGGCTTAAGTCTTTGTTGCTAAGCCACTTCAAATCTGCTGCAAAACCCAGCTCGTATGAGTCAATTAGTGCTGCGGTGGAAATGACTCCCCATCTGCCATATTTGGACAGGATGGCGATGGCCACATGAGCGCTGGATGGGGATTTAGCAGATGAGACAAACAACAAGCACATCCGCCCCGTTAGCTGCCAGCGATCCCCCCGCAGGTGTAAATTATTGATGGTAACCTGGACGACGTCGCTCCATGACGATCACCGCTCGTTAGCTTGTAAGTGGGCCAGCGATAATCACAGAAATCCAGTCAGCATTTTGAACTGGTATATTATTCATCTGCTGGCTTCATTTGGAAAAGTTAATTCACCCCGCAGCTGGAGAACTCTGCTTTTACAAATCATAGTCCTATCTGTGACGCAGTGCATCAATAAGTTAATGCATTGAATTATTATTTTCCCGCTTATTTCCTCTTCCTTTTTTAATTTTTCACTTTTTCAAAAATTAAGTATACTACCGTTCAAAAGATTTTGAGTTTTTTTTAATTTTTATTAGCACTTTTATTCAGCAAGAATGCATTAAAATGATCATAAATGATCGTAAAGACATTTATGATGTTACAAAAGATTTGTTTAAAATAAATGCGGTACATTTGAACTTCCTATTCATCAAAGAACCCTGAATAAAATGTATCACGGTTTCCAGAAAAATATTAAGCTGCACAGTTGATGATAATAAGAAATGTTTCTTGAGCAGCAAATCAGCATATTAGAATGATTTCTGACGCATCAAGTGATACTGAAGACTGGAGTAATGATACTAAAAATGCAACTTTGCATCACAGGAATAAATTAAATTTGAAAATATATTCAAATAGAAAAGTTATTTTAAATTGTAGTAATATTATACAGTATTACTGTACTTTTGATCAAGCAAATGCAGTTTTGATGAGCATAAAATCATTTTTAAAAAACATAAAATTTTACTAACCCCACATTTTGAACGGTAGTGTATAAAAAGGACCAAATGAATTACAGCTTCTTGAATTATTATTTATTTCCTCTTCCTTTTTTAATTTTTCACTTTTTCAAAAATTAAGTATACTACCGTTCAAAAGATTTTGAGTTTTTTTTTATTTTTATTAGCACTTTTATTCAGCAAGAATGCATTAAAATGATCATAAATGATCGTAAAGACATTTATGATGTTACAAAAGATTTGTTTAAAATAAATGCGGTACATTTGAACTTCCTATTCATCAAAGAACCCTGAATAAAATGTATCACGGTTTCCAGAAAAATATTAAGCTGCACAATTGATGATAATAAGAAATGTTTCTTGAGCAGCAAATCAGCATATTAGAATGATTTCTGACGCATCAAGTGATACTGAAGACTGGAGTAATGATACTAAAAATGCAACTTTGCATCACAGGAATAAATTAAATTTGAAAATATATTCAAATAGAAAAGTTATTTTAAATTGTAGTAATATTATACAGTATTACTGTACTTTTGATCAAGCAAATGCAGTTTTGATGAGCATAAAATCATTTTTAAAAAACATAAAATTTTACTAACCCCACATTTTGAACGGTAGTGTATAAAAAGGACCAAATGAATTACAGCTTCTTAGAAACTGCTGATTTTTATGGACAGGAATTAGTAGCACAGATATTACACTTCAGATTTAAAGGAACACTCCACTGTTTTTGAAAATAGGCTCATTTTCCAACTCCCGTAAAGTTAAACAGTTGAGTTTTACCGTTTTCGAATCCATTCAGCCGATCTCCAGGTCTGGCGGTGGCGCTTTTAGCTGTAGCTTAGCATAGGCCATTGAATCTGATTAGACCGTTAGCATCTCGCTCAAAAATGGTCAAAGAGTTTCTATATTTTTCCTATTTAAAACTTGACTCTTCTGTAGTTACATTGTGTACTAAGACCGACGGAAAATGAAAAGTAGCGATTTTCTAGGCCGATATGGCTAGGAACTATACTCTCATTCCAGCAGACCATTTTTGAGCGAGATGCTAACGGTCTAATCAGATTCAATGATCTATGCTAAGCTAAAAGTGCTACCGCCAGACCCGGAGATCGGCTGAATGGATTTGAAAACGGTAAAACTCAACTGTTTAACTCTAGGGGAGTTGGAAAATGAGCCTATTTTCAAAAATAGTGGAGTGTTCCATTAAGTAGTAATCAGAGTCTAAGACTGATTTGCAAACCTTTTTGACAGATTCCTTAACTCAAAAGAGTCATTAGTTCAGGAGCTCAGATGATCACTGATTGGGCATTGAGTACATGTATGTGTGTGTGTTTTAAATAAAAAAACAATTCTTAACAAGAACCTCGATTCTCATCCACGCCGATAAAAAAAAAGTATTTTATGGCTTTATAAAAGATTTTCGCTGAATAGGATTTTCCGGGAGTAGGCTGATCAACAGATGGCTACGTAATCTGGAACCATGGTGCATTTTCAGCACAAAGGAGTCGCAGCACTTAACGTACCATTTTAGGCTCGATGGATTCAGCTGCCTTGGTCATGCCATCCAGACACTTGCTGACGATGGGCAATACTTTATGTTCGACCTCGGTGTACACCCGCATGCTCTCCCTCACCCTGCCCACCCGCCTCTCCTCCATCTCCTGTATCCTCTGCAAGACACATTTTGACCACATTATGAACACTCAGTATGGTCCATTTGGCATAAAAAGGAACATATTTGTCATTTATCAATATTAGAATATTTTACTTTGACCGAGAGAGACTCTCACCTGAAAGATATGTGGTATAAGCGTGTAGTAGTGCTCATGTTGGTCCTTGTTGAACTTCTGCAGGTAGGTCAAGTACTCATTTTTACTGTCCTCTGCTATCTGATGCCTCATCTGAGCTTGCTGTTTCGCCTAGATAGACAGAAAACAAGAGACAGACAGCAAAAAAGACATCAAGATAATTTCTACAAGGGTGACATCAGAACATAAAGGGCAAGGACTGACAAATAAAACGATCACCTTTATGACATGACACAAGTCAACAAACACTGAGAGTCAATTAGCAGATTACAGAAAGATATAAGCATAGCCTGGTGTCAACTTCAGATCGATACAGTCAGTGATCTACACACTTAACCAAACACTCTGGGCAAGAGTGAGAGAAGACAAACAACGCAAACATCACAAATCAAACACAGAAATATAATCAACTGATGTACTCAGGGAAAATAACACAACTGAAGACCTATGTTTTTCAATAATTTATTCAGCAGATTTGTGAGTCATAGTGTCTTTTTTCAGTAGACAATTTCATTCAGATATGAGTATGAGATGTAAATAATTTACTTTACACAATGCTTAGTATGTGTCCACTCAACAATACATGAAAACAGAAAATGCGCCTTATCCAATAACAAGGTCGTCGGTTATTTTACAGCTGAACGGATATATGGTGGTGTCAGTACAGTTATTTATATAAGCAGAAGAAATTGTCAAATGATGCTTTAATCACAAAATGGTGATATACTGTATTGTCTATGACTAACCTGACTAGCTACGACTATGACTAGCTGTGAGGCAGCTACATAAATATTTTCACTTATAAAAATGCATTTATAATGTAAAAAAGTTTTAAAAATAGCAGAATAATAACGTCAACTTTTGATGTTGGTAAATTAAGTAGTAGTAATTGTATATTTTTCATATATACACACAAGGGGTGTAACCGTACTGTTCTCCAGCCACGGTTCAATTTAAATCCGACAAGGCATCTGTAATATGGTTTGTTAAAAAAATTTGAAAATTCGTTCCCATGTTTTAGTAAACAGTGGCCATGTTGTACTAATCACTTTTAATTAAATCAAAACAAGGAAACAAATTAGTACAACATGACCACGATTTACAAAAATATTTTTTTGTCCATTCATGTGCAGGCTCTGTAGAAATGGAAGGTTGAATGTATTGCATTGTGGGATATCTCACTTATTGTGCTCTAATTGTATATGGCACACTTTGGGTAATGTAGGTTGGGTACTCCATTACATAAAAACAAATAGTATGAGTAGTATGGTAGTATGCTATAGATGAAGAAAACTTTGACAAGAGGAACATGGTAGTGTACCAACAGTATGTGAGAAAACAAACACACATACACACACAAAAATGACAACGAGTGTTCAACATTGTTCCAAAACAAAAGACAAAATGGTTCAAATTAATTGCACCAGACATCCATTCATCATGCATACTAACTAAACATACAGCAGACCAAAAAAGCATTTGGACGCTTAAAGGGTTAGTTCACCCAAAAATGAAAATTAGCCCATAAATTACTCACCCTCAAGTCATCCTTGGTGTATATGACGTTCTTCTTTCAGACGAATCCAGTCGGAGTTATATTAAAAATGGTATTTGATCTTTCAAGCTGTTTAATGCCACTCAGCAGGTGTTGCATGCATCAGTCCAAAAGCAGTTAAATAAAATGCGCCCATCCATTAAAAAAAAGTGTCTCACACGGCTCCGGGGGGTGAACAACTTGAGGGTGAGTCATTCATGGCCTAATTTACATTTTTGGGTGAACTAACCCTTTAAGTAAACCGCATAAATTTGTGAACGTCATTGCATTAAACACAAAATATAAATTCAAGATGCATATGCAAAATAGTTAAGAGCTTTTCTCAGAACTAACTTTACTTACTAAACCATTTGTGCTCAATGTCTTTTAATCAGCTGGTGTTTTGGTGCTTTTTTAACTAATTTAAAATTCTCCTCAAGTAACCACAGTCATAGTTCATCACATTAATTATGAACATGTTCCACTAAAATTTTACAACCACAAAGTGTCACAATATTTTTTTCATTAATTGTGAACAACTTATCTATAGTTAATTATTTAAAACTTAATAAACTGAAATCTTTGCTTGAAAAGTGTGCTTCTGCCACTTAATTTAATGCAATGAAATTCATTGATTTTTAAGTGTCAAAATGCTTTTAGGGGGCAACTGTACATAAACAACTGCATGTACATGAACCAGACAGTGTGCACAGACTCTCAGACTCAGGACTTTTTGTGGTTGACAGTAAATTGTGCGGTAATAGCTATTGATTTTGTGAAATCAGTCTCTGCTGTAACCCTTACAACGTAGCCCATTTTCGCAATCGTAATGCATTTTAACGTCTTCCATGTCAAGTCTTATTCTGTACATTTGTACAAGGTGAATACAGGAAAGATTTGCTGCAAGCATAGACGTGAACGCAACAAAAGCTAAAAACGAAAAACAACGAAAATTACGACAAACACTCTTTGCTTATATGGGTAATACACCGAACAAGTTGACAAACTCCCCACCGACAAAGACGACTCTTGGATCAAACCTACCTTGAGAGAACACCGCTTTAAGACATGTTAAAAAACAAAGACAGAGTCGATTAATGTCACAGACACACTAATAACAGAAGATAATTAAGACATCTACACATGGGCAAAACCAAATCCAAATCTGTTCATTTGGCCTTAGATTCAAAACAAATGGCTGCTGCCATATTAGTTGTATTTGTTTCCTATTGTCAAAGCTACCTTTTTTTTTGCGGCGTGTGAGCTTATTACTTTCATTAATGAACATTTAAATATTAATTTCCTAATTTATAAGATTCAGAAATTGCATTTTTATATTTTTTAAGTATTTATAATTATATAATTTTTAGATGGCTTAATAAATTGTAAGTAATAATAATAATTCATTACATTTATATAGCGGTCACTTTTCTAGGCACTCAAAGCGCTTTACATTGTGAGGGGGAGTCTCCTCATCCACCACCAGTGTGCTGCATCCACCTGGATGATGCGACAACAGCCATAGTGCACCAGAACGCCCACCACACACCAGCTTATTGGTGGAGAGGAGACAGAGTGATGAAGCCAATCAGTAGATATGGAGATTGTTCGGAGGCTATGATGGTCAGAGGCCAATGGGCAAATTTGGCCAGGATTCTGAGGTCACACATCTACTCTTTTCCAAAGACATCCTGGGATTTTTAATGACCACAGAGAGTCAGGACCTCGGTTTAACGTCTCATCCGAAACACGGTGCTTTTTGTCAGTATAGTGTCCCCGTCACTACACTGGGGCGTTAGGACCCACACAGACCACAGGGTGAGCACCCTCTGCTGGCCTCACTAACAGCTCTTCCAGCAGCAACCTAGTTTTCCCAGGAGGTCTCCCATCCAGGTACTGTCCAGGCTCAACCCTGCTTAACTTCAGTGGGCAACCAGTCTTGGGCTACAGGGTGATATGGCTGCCGAATTACACACGTGCGTACGTGCGTGGAAAGTTTCCCACCGGTTAATCAACGTGTGACAACACCGGTATCACCGTTGGGGAGGGGGTGTTAATTCGTTTTAGTTTCCCTCTTTTCTTCGCTTTCAAATGGCTTGTAAAAGTGCCGTGCGCATTTTACTTTCACTTTCAAATTAGCGGCAATTTAATTGCCACAATTCGGCGTCAAGCAATTGTTCGTTTGAGTTTTCCCTCTTTTCCTCAGATTTCTTGGCTTTCAGATAGCTTGAAAAAGTGCTGTGCGCGTTTTACTTTCACTTTCAAATTAGCTGCAATTCGGCATTGATTCAATTCAAGCAACAACGACATTAAACTCAGAACTTTTATTAGCAAAACGAATAAAAATACACCATACATAACCTAATAAAATAACAAATTACTTGGGCTACACAAAGTTTAAATAGATATATAAAACTGAAAATCAGCAAACACAGTGGAACCAAATAAATAAGAAACGAATGTTTAAAAAAAACAGTCAATAGGCTTATCAAAATCTAAAATATTGCCAAACAGGCGCCTTTGCATTTTCTTTCTAAACAATCGTCTGCCATCGTCTTGTCTTTTTCACCTCACTCTTGTCAGTCAGCTCGACTCACTCTCCTCACGTGATAAATAAAATCGGACTCCTGCTTGTTCACGCACGGTTCGGCACGCTGCATTGAGCGTTTCGTTTTTAAAAGTGTCTGTCCGCGGTAGGCAAATGACGTAACCGGTGTTGCCGGTATAACCAAAAACGTGTGTGTGTGTGTGAGAGAGATTCAGCAGCCATATCACCCTGTAGCCTGTAAAATATATGAATATTTTAAAGAATATTTTATTTTATAATAAATATCTATATATTTTCTCTGAAATAATGATTTGTTTTCACAAAAATCACTTAATCATTTTGTATCGAATGACTGAAACAGACCGTTTGAACTGATCCAAAGAAATGAAACAACTTCCCAAATCTAGCGCTGTTTTTATATGCTGTAAAATTGAAGTTTTAACTTGAAACACAATAAAAACATCTCTGTCTTTACACTCCAATACTAGCAAGTAGCAAATCAGGGAGAGCTGCCGACACTAAACTAATTACCATAAAATAAAATTCATGAAGTACATTCATCTCAATATTCTCAATGTTGCATATTTTATTAATTAAATTCAGCCCGATGTTCATACTAAAGCTCCAGGTAATAATTTTGTTTACGTATTTCAATAGAAAAGATGGTACACTGTTTAAATTTTAAAAACCTGGAATTGAACTGGAAATTATTTGGTTTGTTTGAATAAAAAATATATGATATATGATCTGTTTTAAGCATCTGCCTAATCACCCCAATGCCACAAACCCCACCCCCCAAAAACAAAATCAACATTAGCAGGTACCAATATAATCACAGATTTTTTGGGGCTTACTGTCCGACTTCCCTTTGAAAAAAAAAAAAAAAAGGTAATTTTCTGCAATACTGGGAAGGTACTGCAAGGTAGGAGCAGGTGAGGTATAAGGTATGAGGAGGGCAGAGTCACTCTAATTTTCAGAAAGTCGAACTCGACATTGGTTATATCAGCATCCGTCACCACCGCCCCATTCCAAAGAGGTATCATCCACACAGACTCACAGAAAAGGATGAAAGCAGTCATGGAGAATGAAGGGTTTGTGATGGGATCTGTCTCTTCTCACACACATATATGACCCATACCTTTTCCACATCTGCTTTAGTCACGTTTATGTCGGCGTCCATCTTGTCAAAGTAATGCTGAGCGCGATCCGCTTCCTTACAGTCTCGCTCAAATCTTCTCTTACTCTGAAAGAGAAAAAAAAAAACTTACATTATGAGAAATTAACATTTTTGATTTTATACCAATACATACTGCTGAAAACAAAATGTCATGTGACTGTCATGTGACTGAAAAATGTAGTTCAACTTGTAGCAGTGCTACTTTTAGTTCGCTATTCTATATTTACCATTAGTTTTATATTTTTTTATGTATTAAAACATATAGCAGTGACTTTTACAAGCATCTGTGGCTCATTTCACACAAGTGTTTATTGTACAAGGCTGCCCAGTTCTAGCTCATATCTTAGACAGGTGATGAAAGAGAGGCCAGTATCAGGAAAAAAATTTGAATATTCACACTATGTTCTGTTCAGTTAAACTGACTCACCGATTCCAGCTGCTTCCAGGAATTCTCAATGTGTTGTTGCGCTCTGCGGCCATCATGGAAATGCTTGAGGAAAGAAAAGACAAGAAATAGATCTAAAATTTAGAACACTACTGTTCAAAAGTTTGGGATTTCTCTTAAATCTCTTTTGCTCACCAAGCGTGCATTTATTTGATGAAAATATAGTGATATTGTAAAATATTGTTGCAATTTGAATATATTTTAAAATGTAATTTATTCCTGTGATAGCAAATCTGAATTTTCAGCATCATTACTCCAGTCTTCACTGTCTAAACTGATCCTTTAGAAATCATTCTAATATACTGATTTGCTGCTCATGACACATTTCTTATTATTATTTATGTTGAAAACAGCTGTGCTGATTAATATTTTTGTGGAACTATACATTTTAGAAAGTTAAAAAAATAGGAAGTTTATAAGAATAGTGTTTTTTTGTTGTTGAAAATGCAAAGAAAATGTGCACAACTCATTGTAAAAACAAGCACATAAAACAAAGTTGCAATGGAGTCTGTACCTCTGAGGGTTAATAAAAACAGCACAGAACATAACCATGGATAGATTTCAGGGCTCCAGACTAACATTTCAGAGCAGTGGCACCAGCACCACTAAGTTCTACAGATGGTGGCGCCAGGAGCAGATTTGGTAGCGCTGGGGGTGGTGTGCGGGAGTATTAAAATATAGATCATTTAATCATAAAATTACTATTGTTTTGCATTAATAAGTGCAGTTACGTTGCATAATATATGTGTGTACATGTCACGGCTCACTACTGTGAGGAACACGGAACGAGGAGACGCAGAGTTGAATTAAAACTTAGACTTTAATAATATCCAGGGAAACACATGTAGCAAGGGTTGACATCAACAATTCCAGATAAGGGAGAACAGAATGGGCTAGAACTCAAATAGGGCAGAACCATGGCGGAGCAGGGGACTCAGGAGGCCATGGCAAAGCAGGCAGTTCAGGAGGTCCTCTGTGACCTTAGCCAACTCTTCCAACACGGCCACGGACATATGGCCCCCCCCAAAATTTTCTTGGGGAAAATGAGGAATTCTGGAGGGCGCTCTGGAGGTGCAGGGCCGACTAACTCGGGGGAATCAGGAGACGAAGGAGACCCAGGGGACGATGGAGAGCAGGACGGGACCAGCGGATACGAAGGAGAACTTTCTGGAGCGGATTCTGGGGTGAGGATAGGAGCTGAGAACTCTGGAGGTAGCGCCATGTCCAAGAGCGCAGAGTCGGCGGCGGCCGGCGGGCCTGACGGCAAGCTGGTTCTGGATTGGGGATGGACACTCTCCAGACACCGGAGGATCCCTTCCCTCCAGCTCAGTCCAGTGGTGTCTGGGAGGTCCACGGGGCAATGATAGTTGGCCCCGATCCAGAACAGAGAGTTAATTGTGGCATCGTCCAATGCCGTAGTAGCGGCGAGCCCGCAGAATTCCCAGGCGAACTCTATGAAGGGAAGATCCCTGCGGGCTAGAGTAGAGAACAGAGCGGCTATTTCCATGGCCGCGGAGAGAAATAGGAAAACCAAAAAACTTTCAAAAACGGAAAAGAAACACGGGGAGGAGAGACGCCGCTCACTTATTGTTGGTCTGGAATTCTGTCACGGCTCGCTACTGTGAGGAGCACAACGGAACGAGGAGACGCAGAGTCGAATTAAAACTTAGACTTTAATAATATCCAGGAAAACAGGAAAACACACGTAGCAAGGGTTGACATTAACAATTCCAGATAAGGGAGAACAGAACGGGCTAGAACTGAAATAGGGCAGATAACGAGGGGCAGACAGGTGATGAGGATAACTAATAATGAGAAACACCTGGAACTAATAGAACTAAATGGGGACAGGAACAGGAAGGACCAAATAAGGACAAACAGGAACTAAACGGGAACATACACGTGGCAGTATATTTATTATGTATATATAAATACACACATGAATGTATATATTTAAGGAAAATATGTTATGATTATACATATTAAATATATTTATATATAAATTACACACATATAAATACATACATGTAAATATTTTCAAAATATATACTGTATGAGTGTGTGTATTTATATATACATAATAAACAGTACACACACACATATTATGTTAACCAAAACTTTTATTTTGGATGCGATTAATCGCGATTAATCGTTTGATAGCACTAGTATATACACTACCAGTCAAAAGTTTGGGTTAGATTGGGTTAGAAATTAATATTTTTCTTCAGCAAGTGTGCATAAAATTTATATCAACAACACTGATAATCATGATTAAAGTTTCTCGAGCAGTACATCAGCATATTAGAATGATTTCTGAAGAATTGTGTGACACTAGAGACTGAAGTAATGCTGCTGAAAATCCAGCTTTGCATCACAGCAATAAATTAATTGTTTTATATGTTAATATATTTTAAAATGTATTTTAAATTGTAATAATATTTCACTATATTCCAGTTTTACTGCATTTTTGATCAAATAAATGAAACCTTGTTGAGCATAAGAGACTTCTTTCAAAAACACTGAAATCTTACAGACCCCAAACTTTTGAACAGTAGTAAGACATAAACTGTTTTGTGTAGGTAAATTTGAAACATCATTAGTAAATGGCTACATTAAGATATCAAAATACATGTGTATGATTTATATATGCCAAACTGTTCTCACTCACTTGAATTCCTCCTCCTCTTTAGAGTTCTTCTTGAGCTGATACTTCTTGGACAGATTCCTATAGTAAGAAAAATAAGACACTTTGTTAAAATGTTAAAACACTTTATTCTATAAAGTAACTATAAACAAGTAATATGTAAATTATGTTTGTTTGAACCAGCACAACAGTGGCTGAACCAATGGTGTGAGTTTTATCTGTTTGTTCAAACAATCGCAGATAGAAAGAGTATTTAGTCATTATTTTTGCAATTATGTTTGGTAAGTGGTGCATAAATTGCACATTTAAATAGGAATGAATACATTGTTTAAAAAAAGTTACTCTAACATAAAAAAACAGCAATTTAGCAAACATTTCTCCCACCAAAAAAGCAAAGACATTTCACTGATTTCAAAGGTGTCTTTGTTTCCCAATAATTTGAATGAGTGAAATTGTGCACGTCAGTGACAAATAAGATCTAATGGTGCTTGTGGTGCAACGCGAGACTGCAGTGCAAACAAAAGCTAATATTGTCACCATCAGAATAATCGTATCATCCCACTAAACAAGGCGTCCGATTCATGAGGCTGACCTTTGTCAATCAGAATGGAAAACTGAGTACAGGAAGACGAGAAATGACACAGTGAAAATGAGAAAACCATTGCTTTATACATGAATATCATGTGATTAATTTCAAGAGGGCCTATAAATGGCTTAAAATCAATTATGATGGTGAGAGCGCATGCTGACGGTGCCGCCCCATCGATGCTTTTTCCTGCAGCTTTCCTTCACTCTATCTCTCCCTCTCTCCGCACACACCCAACGCTACCTCCCAGGAGTCTGACGTGTTGCTAGGCAGATCACCATCTTGCAGTTTCTTGACAAGACCCCACCGATGCAGTTGCTTTATTGTCTGCTAGTTTCCCTACGATTGGCCTAAATGGGCCGCCCTATGCGTCAATATGCAACGGCAAATAGGAAAAAGGTTGATAAAGCCATAAATAAATCCTCATTAGAATAACCCAACCCAGTGGTTTTTAAAGGACTATTATTCTTCGGTCAGACAGATCCATGTCGATGCCGTTTATCTGCTAACATGTGCTTAGCGCTTAATAAATCTTTCACCCATGGCTGCGATCTGAACACAAAAAAAAGCCTCTGGGAGATGTTGTGAATTAAAGACTCTTTCTTGAGAGCAAAATACAGTCTGACACAGTTATTAAAAATAACAACAATGCACGCACGGATTGAGCGAACGGCTACGAAAAGAGGATTTTCTCTTATGTGATCAATTCTTGAGAGCAAAATACAGTCTGACACAGTTATTAAAAATAACAACAATGCACGGATTGAGCGAACGGCTACGAAAAGAGGATTTTCTCTTATGTGATCAGAAAATACAAACAGAAAGGGCCTGTTTGTTGCATGGCGAGCAGCGCCGCTGTGTGCGCCGGTTTCTTATAAACGCTGAGGTTTCTCTGCATATGTCATGATGCTGGTAAGTCATCCGGTGTCCTCAGGGTCATCATCTCCAGTGGAAACTGCTGCTTAATAAACTTCCAAAATGCAGCCAGCAAGAAATATTACAGAATCAGTGGTAGATAACAGAATGTGGGTCAGAGCCATGGAAACCCAGTATCCATGGTAATACACGTCGGACATGTGACCCGTTTTATGTTTGTTCTCACTGACATAATACCTTGCCCTCATAAAACACCATCTTTTTGAATATTTGTATGCTTCAGTTGTCATTTACTGTGAATCATACGTTAGGCTGGTATCTGGTATATTCAGACTGAAATAGTAAACTGATACATTACTGACAGTTAAGTACTCTGCTGATACAGTGATACACAAATCTGTGTGGATCAAAATAGTATTTAATTCACTGGATTATTCAAAAATAGCACACATGGTTCATTCATTTTTTTTTTTATTGAATTTCCACCAAAAATAATTATAATATATACAAATACTGTGGTTACACCGCTACAAAATTCTATTATTTATTCATATTTTATTACATTCAGAAAATATTACTGATTATATTACAACAAAAAACTGAGTTGAGCTGGATAATAACACTATTGTTTTCTGAAGCGGTTTCATAATTGATGAACTTTGCAACGTTGACAGTTAATGAACTGAAGTGAATCAACACTGAATCTGAATTGAGGTAATTGAATTTCCACCAAAAATAATTATAATATATACAAATACTGTGGTTACACCTCTACAAAATTCTATTATTTATTCATATTTTATTACATTCAGAAAATATTACTGATTATATTACAACAAAAAACTGAGTTGAGCTGGATAATAACACTATTGTTTTCTGAAGCTGTTTCATAATTGATGAACTTTGCAACATTGACAGTTAATGAACTGAAGTGAATCAACACTGAATCTGAATTGAGGTGAATAATGACACTATTGTCTTCTGTAGAGTTGCTTTACAGCTAAAAATTGTTTAGAATTGATGCATTTTTAAACATTAACAGTTACTTTCTGTGTATTACTGTGAAAAAAGCTGCTTTAAAACAATCTGTACTGCATAAAGCACTATATACAACTTCAACTGACAAAAAAATGAGCATCTAATTCATGATAACATTACCTTATCATTTTAAGAACTACAAATATGAGCCACAAATCTGTTTTTATCTTACCTGATCTGTTTAGCATAGCTCAGTTCAATTTCAGACCGTTCCTTCACAAACTTGGTGTAGCGCTCCAAAAACTCAATGCCCCACTGAGTGTGTTTCTCTAAATTATCAAACTGATCCTGCAAAAGACAGAAAAACATCAGACCGAAAGTTAACATATGAACGACTAACCATTTCGAGCGCCTCACGTTCACATAACATTGACAAAATATGAAATTGCAGTGAAGGTAGAGTGCCAACAGAACACTTTAGGAGATAAAAATGATAGATTTTGCATTGATGGATTTGATAACTGTGAAAGAGGGCCCAAAGGAGAGAGCTCAAAATACCCTCAGAATCAAAGTCATCCCATATCATTTCACCAGTTTGCAGAATTCTCTGACACTGGCAACGTGTCAGATCCATTATTCAGCACTGCTGGCCCTCCAGCTGTAACATGCCTAATGCTTATCGCTATATACACAGTACAAACTTCATCCATCACAGAGTATTTCACTTGTTTTAAAACTTATTAACCACTAGGTTACTGCAACAAAACATATTGATCTGAATCTCCTATGGCATCCATAATATAGCTTTTAGAGCATTTGACCATTTAAAAAGTCAATTTAAATAATGATCAGTCTATTACTTATTATTATTAGTCATTTAACTATTTCATCCACAGTCAGCAACATTTTCAATGTCTGTAACTTTGTGTTTAATGCACAATGTCTTAAACTTTAATACAGTTAAGATGTCAAATTAAAGTATTTTAAAAATCAACTTTTCCTTAAACTTAAGTCATTGTCAACTACAAGGAGCATTGTTGTCATAACCTACTAATGTATGAATGCTGTAATTTAGTGAGGTTGTTCAAATACCTTTTATACCATCCCATACCAATCCTGAGATATATATATATAAATAACTAAAAATATGATGATGGAAGGCTTTTAATGAAATTAAATGAAAACTTGCTGATTCAGATGATACAAGTTCTGTCACTTAACATCCATTTACATGACTACTAATCAAATTATATATAAACTTGGTTTTAGTCCTATAAATCCTTTTAAAATATAACCCTCATAATATTTTACAAAGGCTTACAAGCTTCTACTGTCACCTGGTGAGGGTGGTGGCCATGTAAAATGATTTCACCCGTAACTTATTTCTAATTGGTTAAACTGCTGATGTTACAATTTACCCCATATTACCACATTCCCTGGTCTCTTCTACACATATTACAACAAATTAAGATTAAGCGGAAGCTTGCAAAGTCTAAACTTTTTGGTTACCAGCCCAGATGTTTAACCACAGGCTACACAACCTGAAATATTTGATCATACATTATAGTGTTGTTACTAGGTTAAGGTTGCATGATGTTACAGCCAACAATGGACAGTCTTGAAACTATTACATATTTAAGATCATAATAGAAGTGCGGTGCAACAATATGACACTATTACTTTATTACATACACATTGCAACATCAACGCTGAAAAAAGGACATGCATGGGATGGGGAATAGCCTGTGCACCTGCTCCAGCCCCATTCACTCGCATGTGGTTAGGGCCAGTATTAGCCCAGGATTGTTGCCATCCAGGGTATTTAGTCAATGCTGACGGCTAATAATTGCCTTAACGAGCTTTAGAGACCATGCATTTGCTTGCATTCAAATATCTAGACGTGCATGCAAAAGATTCGGTGCTAAATGAAAGATTTCTGTAACAGTAGCTGGAAATTGCGGTCTGCATCACTGTAAAATGGGTGGTGCGGTGGGCTATTTATCTGTCACTAATGGGCATATGCATGTTACTAATGGAGATCCTAAACATTTTGTGCACTATGTTGCTTGATATCTTTCAGATGCATTCGCCTCAGTGTCTCGCGGCTGTACTCACCCACAGCTCCGTCCCCCAACTGCAGCTCATGGTCTCGAGGCAGTTCCTCCGCGATAATCCTCTGTTCGAATGCATGCGTGATTCTCGCCCAGGAACAGCTTTCGGATAAGAAAAATTATACTAACTGGTGTAATACCAGCATATACCGTCAAGGATGTGTGCCTCGATCGGCGAGACCGTCCGTTTTCACCTCCGCATTCTGTAAATTGCCGATGAAACTGGAAATGAAGATAATGCCTATGTACTCGTGCATTCACGCGCCTCAGACAGAGCTAGACGCCCACGCGCAGAGCAGAGCAGCACGCAGCGCGAGATCCACCTCACACCAGTTACTCAGATAAACTGCTAAGTGTATGTGTGTTAGTGGATTCATGCGACACATTCGAACACGTTAATGGGAAAGGACATTTTCAAATGTTTTATTTATTTATTTATTTTTCATTTCATTTCTTCCTTTGTCCCATTCCAGCTGTACAAATACTTACGTTCTTTTTTACTATCTGATTTCTAGTTAGTTCTAGTTTATCAAATGCCTCTATGGTGTACAAATGTGCTCTTGTAAAATAAAGAAAAACAAAAGTTCAAAAATAAATTCAAGAAAACATTTTTAGCAGTACTTTCTAGTTTTATAATAATGTGTAACTTATAACAATTTAATAATAATAATACTTAGCGTTATTATTATTATTATTATTATTACATAAATATATTAATAACGATGATGATGATTATGATGATAATAAAAATTGGGACAACGTAAAAAGATAGCTTTCTTCTATAATATAATAGGCCCACCTTTTTTTATTAAAAACACTAACGTTTTAACATTATATTCTGCTTATCAGATCATTATGTAGTGTTCACTTGCATTTAAAAATGGGGGGAGGGGGGGGGAAATTATATATCTTTTCAATGGACGCCTGAAGTACGGACCTGTAGTCGAACCCCCTGGTTCTAAAGGTAATATTTTAACATTTTAAATACTACTTATAAGTTATAAGTCTTATTAAGTCAAGTTAAGTATATATAAGTTCAGTCTGTTTATTTAGTGATCAGTGGCTATTTGGAACTAAATAAAATAACACCCTAAATTTAAAAAATGAAATAAAATGACAAATGAAATAATGATATATCACCTTTGAAGTGTTTAAAAAATTTGTCCTATAATTGTTTTGCTTATATATTATGATCCTTTATGATATTTTCTTTCAAACAAGTACTAAACCTTTTTTTCTTTTGCAGTGCAGAAACCATTAAAGGTCTTTTAGAAGACTTTTATTTTAAAAAACAAGAACTCTCTTCAGATGACCAGCTTCCGGTTAGCAACCAGGCCTTGTGTGACAACGGTTCCTAGGCAGAATTTGTTGTTGATGTGTTAGCGGTACACACAGCTACACAGCGTATACAAGTGTTTATCATTTTCATTTAGCTAAAGTCAAATAAAAAACGACGTTCTGTGACAGCGCTCGGAGAACTAAGTTATACTTCGATAATTAGCTCGAAAATTAGCGAACGTTAGTTGAAAACCCACAAACTACTCTCCAAGATGAGCGAACAGCTCAAACTGATCGTTGAACAGCTGAACGGGGAGCCTTTTAAGAAAAACTTCAATCTCATTACATTTGACTCTCTGGAGCCAATGCAGTTACTGCAGACTTTAAATGATGTTCTGGCTGAAATTGATCCAAAGGTGAGTGAAGAAATGATCTTTATGAATCCAAATGCAAAGTAAAATAAGTAACCTTATATAAATACAATATAATAAATAACAGTACAGAACAGTATTCTTTGTGTCCCTGTGATCTGTTTTTATTTATTTATTTCATATTACATTACATTTGTGTTTTATAAACTGGTGTGTTATACAGACCCTATCTGTCAGGTTTATTTTTGTGTTGTGCCTTCCCTCTAATCGGCTGTTTACACTTTATCTTGTCTCGATCCATTTATCTTTTCTTTCAGCAAGCCATTGATATACGTGAGGAAATGCCTGAGCAGACGGCTAAGAGAATGTTTACTCTTCTTGGGATGCTGAAATACAAACCTCCTGGAGGAATGTCTGAAGTGTAAGATAGAAATAGTGAAAAACTGTACAGAATATGTCAAATAGTGGTCTTAGGGCACATGGGTATCATACAGTAGCTTATCTGGGTGCCAGCCAGGTTTGTTTTCTGGAGAAAGAAACAGAAACCGTAAGATGAAATGGATTCAAAAGTTTTACTTTTGCTCTTAAATGTCTAATCAGCTTTGGAATGTGTATGCCTTGACAGAAGCAGTTTTCGTCAGGGTTTGGTGATCGGCAGTAAGCCTGTGGTGCACCCCATCTTGCACTGGCTGTTACAGAGGATTCCAGAGCTGAAGAAGAGAGCGTACCTGGCCAGGTTCCTCGTCAAACTAGAGATTCCTGCTGAGTTTCTCCAAGATGATATCATTGCTGAGACCTTCCACCAGGTATAACTACACTGAACATATGGCTTAAAGGAATAGCTCACCCAAAAATGAACAAATTCTGAAAATGTATGTATTCACCCTCAGGCAATCCAAGATTCAGATGCGTTTGTTTCTTCATCAGAACAGATCTGGAGAAATTTAGCATTGCATCACTTGCTCACCAATGGATCCTCTGCAGTGAATGGGTGCCGTCAGATTGTCAGAGTCCAAACAGCTGATAAAAACATCACAATAATCCACAACACAACTTCAGACTATCAGTTAATAACTTGTGAAGTGAAAAGCTGTTCAAACTATCATTCTGACGGCACCCATTCACTGCAGAGCATGTGATGTACCTTAATTCTAAATTTCTCCAAGTGTGCTCTGATGAAGAAACAAACTCATCCTACATCTTATATGGCCTGAGGGTGAGGAAATGTTTAGCAAATTAAAAATTTGAGTGAACTATTTTTGTTAGTAAACATTGTTTTTTTAGATTCTATTCTATTTTCTTCTGTTTTGTTTTCTATAATAATGTATTCTGGTACTTTACACATGGAGAGTGCGGACTGGTGTCTTTTATAAGTTTACATATATATCATAATATTTTCTTTAATTTATCAGAAATTAAATAACATTTAATTTAAATGTTTATTGCTGGTAAATAATGAAATTATTAGTAAAAAGAGCTCATATAATATTTAGAGGTGGATGAATGAAGTTGTACTTTTAAATGATACATTGTGTACCCATAATCATGGTTGCTTACTTTTTTTCTTTTAAAAGCCTTTCATCACTTGTTGTAAACTTTAAAGCCTTTTTTAGCCATGTTTGTGGACCTACTATAGATTCTGTTTGTGTGTTTGTGCATCATTTTAGATTAATAGATGTTTATTTTTTTGTGCTTTATTCTAATGTTTTCTTTCTATTGTTTGGTGTCTTTTATAAGTTTACATATATATCATAATATTTTCTTTAATTTATCAGAAATTAAATAACATTTAATTTAAATGTTTATTGCTGGTAAATAATGAAATTATTAGTAAAAAGAGCTCATATAATATTTTGAGGTGGATGAATGAAGTTGTACTTTTAAATGATACATTGTGTACCCATAATCATGGTTGCTTACTTTTTTTCTTTTAAAAGCCGTTCATCACTTGTTGTAAACTTTAAAGCCTTTTTTAGCCATGTTTGTGGACCTACTATAGATTCTGTTTGTGTGTTTGTGCATCATTTTAGATTAATAGATGTTTATTTTTTTGTGCTTTATTCTAATGTTTTCTTTCTATTGTTTTCATAGTATGAGGAGCTGGTGGGGGGATTCAAGAACATCCACAAAGAGTGTGAACAGCTGAAGAGCTCAGGTTTCTCCACCGCTGAGATTCGACGGGTAAGAAAGCCAGTGTTGCTGAAGTCCCATCTGGTCATGTAGAGTTTTGTATTATATACACAATAACAATGTGTCGCTGCAGGACATTGTTGCAATGGAGGAGGAGAAGGATCAACTCATAAAAAGGGTGGAGCGGCTTAAAAAGAGGGTAAGAAAGACAGAATCCTATAGAATCTGTTTGTGAAACTAAATAAAATGATGGAATCGCACCTGCAAATACACACATTGTGTGAACTGCTGAGGTCACAGTTTAAAAGGCATAAATGGAATAATGAATGCATTTGAATCCACACAAAATAAAGGACCACCACGGCATGTGAAATAAAAATAAAATAGGTTTAGGTTAATTAATTATTTAACAATTATAAAATAATTACTTCTGACCTCTGAAATGTTCATAGCCGCAAAAATTCTGGAGCTCAAATTGGATCTGAAAATTGATTGCATGATTGTAACGCCTTGCAAGTCACAGTTTTAACCATATTCAAATCCACTCCAGACAATTCACTTATTTAGCATAGTAAATGTGAAATTGTACTTATTCTGGTTTCGTGGTTTTTGTGATACTATTCTTCTCCTCTAGGTAGAGGCAGTGTCAACCCATCAACGCATGCTGGAACTGGCCAGACAGCTAAGAGTGGAAAAAGAAAGAGAAGAATCTCTTGCTCATCAGAAACAGGAGCAGAAGAACCAGGTAGAGACAGTCTGAATACCTGCACAAATACATCATGTCTGAAGAACCTCACTGGAGCTCCATGACCAGTTGTTGAATCAGTTATTGTCTCCTGGACATTCTGATGGCTCAGGCCGTGTTTCATCTCTGGTGTAGCTCTTCCAGGCAGAGCAGAGACTGCAGAGATGTCAGATCCAGCTTAAAGACTTGCAGCAGGCAGCCGCAGATGAAAAGCCAGAGAGTAAGTTGCTATACTTAAAGACACCTGTCCCAGAATCACTCACTCTGTGTAAGCATGGGTCATGGGTTCGATTCCCAGTGCACAGTGACACCCATACTAAAAAAAATTATGTGAGTGATTTATGAAGAAACAGAAGAAACTGAGAAAAACTAAATCCAGAAGAACTGTGGCAACGTCTCCAAGATGCTTCAAAGCTACCTGAGAAACTATGCGCAAGTGCACCTAGGGCAAAAGCTGCTAAACGCAAAGGATGGTCACACCAAATGTTGATATGTTGAAATGTTGATTTAATTTAGTTAATAGAAGTTAATTGATAAAGAAAATCTATTTATGACATTATTTTTGACAGCATCCTCATTTTACAGCATTTTTACACAAGTGCCTAAAACTTTTAACAGCACTGTAGCTTTGCAGGGAGGGCTCTTATAGCATCTTGGAGACATTGCCACAGTTCTTCTGGATTTAGCCTTTCTCAGTTTCTTCTGTTTCTTCATGTCATTCCAGACAGACTGGATGATGATGAGATCAGATCTCTGTGTGGAGCACTGGCTGCTGTCAGACAAAAATCTCCCTGGATTATTACAATTAATGGCAAAATGAATGTTTGCAAATGTAAACTGATATTTCCTACTGACGCACTACAGCAAAAGATAAAAATAACTGACTTCAAACCATTTTTAGCTGCTGAAAATACTAGTGTTCTAATAATTTTAGCCACCACTGTAGTAATGAACTGTCTTTTGTTCATTAGATCAGAGAAACCAACACAGAGATCAACCATCTGATTGAGAAGAGGATGATGCGTAACGACCCAATGGATGATAAACTCTCTTTGTTCAGACAGCAGGTAAGGTGTCATCTCTGCTTTTTTCTCTCATCACTTACTTGACTTTGCTTGAACAGGTGTTGTTCTTTTTTATCTGAGAGGTCAGGTTTATTTTGGGCAGGGGGATTTCTGCTCAAACTTTGTTTTGCGGGCAATCTTTATTCATGCAGGGTTGAGTACTGTGTGATTTAGTATTTGCCCCTTAAGCCCTTTGAAGCCCAGCGTGCCCAGAATGGAGAAACAGAGTATAGATGACCATGTGGCGTTCGTACCCATGTGGAGAGATGATGCACTTGTCCTGCATATCTTTTGAACTTGAAAGAATGTTTGATGTTCTCTGATTTGCTAATACAACAATGTGCATTTGTTTCATATGTAGTTGCCAGATGTCCATTATCATAGCCTATTAAACGGCTCTCTTGATTCTGATTGGTCAGCGGCAGCATTCTGATGTCAAATATTTTTGTATAACAACAAGACTGTATAATTAACCTTTGTCCCAGGCAACTGATCTTCCTACTACAGACAGTGGTTTCCAAAGGTCTATGGGGCCATTGACAGTTTTTGCATTTAAAAATGTGAAATGTTGGGCAGTGGAATGGAAAAAAAGGTCTAGATATGTGTTTTTTAAAAGGCAAACTTCTTTTTACAGTCCTCTGTTTTCGAATGCCTTGTCAAACAAGCCATCTAGCACATGTTTACATAGAAAAACAATGTTAAAGCAGTGCAGTAGAACACAAAAATGCATTCTAAAACCATCACGAATGAGAATTCTTCTGTTTTGCATCATTTTTTTTTTCGTGACAAATTGCATTTGTTTATCAGCATGGCAAGTTGGGTGAAAAGTTTCATTTAAAAATACACATGCATTTCAGAATGTCTTAGTGTTGAGTTTGTCCCACTTTTGCTTGAATGTGCTCCAGCATGATTTTATATTTTCCAGAGAGCATCTTGTGCACATCTTCAATAAAAGAAAGTGAAGAATCGTACTTAAAAAAAATTTTTTTTTTAAATCATAGTTTGATTTTTATTAATATTTAAACAAAAACTAAAATATATAAAAAACTAAACTTAAATTAAAAATGAAAACTTTCTATTTATATCCTTGTTAAAATTTGAATTAAGAAAATGTGGGAGTCAATAAACCAGCAAAAAGTTATTAAAATAAATACATTTGTGTGTTTAGGCTGCTATTATAGTCCGTAAGAAGGAAACCAAGGTGGAGGAGTTGCAGGAGGCCCGTGAGGAGTTGGCAGCTGTGGAGAGAGAACTGAACATGAAGAGCAGTCAGGCACGAGAGCGGGGTGGAGCAGAGCTGATCCGTGGAGATGAGGTTCTGAAAACACACAGTCACTATCCACAACACATAGAAACACAGCTGTTCATCCTGTTCTGTTTAGAAATATTACAACATTTGTTGTGTTAAAACTACTATAATAACCAGTTAGATCACTTTACTTTTTGCAATGCACCTAAATTATCAGAATTTGCTTGTTTCGTGTATCATAGAAAACCAAATATGCAAGGCATAAAAACATACAGTATGTACACTTAAAGGATAAGTTTGCAGATTTTCAACCAGCTTTGTATTGTTTCAATGGCAGTTGTATATGTAAATGAACAATGTGTACTACTTTGTGTTATTTGTTGCATTTATTTGTCAGGAAAAGTCAGCCAGATGCACGTTTTGCACCATCAGGTGGAATTTTGCAGATTTTTGTCAACTCCAGGGCTTTTATTTTAAAACTATAGATCAAACTTCTGCATTTTGTTTATTCCTATCTGGATGGACAGAAGAATGGCACCAAAATCAAAAGTTTTTGTCAAAAGAGAACACCACTGTCCTTTTTCTCTTTTTTTCTGGTCATGTTTTTATTGCATTCTATTTTAAACAGTTTTTCAGGTTTCTATAGCATAGACAGGCAAGTTTTTATTAAAAGCCCATCTTGCCAGCAGTGAATTACCCCTTTATGCAGCACTGCTCCAAAAGGGCAGGTGACAGTTATGTCATCTGGCTCGAACTTTCTCACACTGGTCCCGGAGCCAGAGCTGTAATGTTTTTTTCCCAGGAGATTTCCCGGAGTAACTGTCAGTGATGAACAGGCCTGTGTCTGTTTCTGAGACCTGTGAACTATCTTGTCCTCACTTTTTGCTGTCTGTCTGCATTTTTTTTTTTTACAAGCAGACGTTCCATTCCCTGGCTGGCCTTGGGCAGAGATATTGGCAGGACCAAGCAGATAGAGCGGCACCCTGGCTAAAATAGCCACCATCCCTCCCCCAATTCTGGACTTCCTGCGATTTTATCAGCCTCTCCATGATAACATGCACTTCTGTCCATAGCTCATCCAACTGTGAACTGCAGCAGCCAAGTGATGGATAGCTGAAACTATAGAGAGAGAGTGTGTGTCTATAGATGTGATGGGGATGTGCTCTGATAAGTCTGAGCTTCTGAAATAGATAATAACCAAGTATGGTCAACTTGTGGCACAATGTAGAGGGAAACAGAAGGGAAGAATGGCTTTTGGTGCAGTGGGAGACACAGCTATCACTCAAAATTAACTTAAACACAGATAATGGGGAGGGGGGAACAGAGTTCCATGTTAGGATTTCTAAATGTGATTTCTAACTTTTTCTGCTGATTTTTAAAATTAATTAAAAAAAATGAGTTATGAGTTAACAAACATTTTAAAAGGAATTTAGAAGATGATTTTTTTTATTACAATATTTGAAAGCAACAGAGTTAGATAAGTTGGAGGCAGTTCAATACAAATTCAGCTCAGTTGACAGCACTTGTGGTATTATGGTAATTTCTACTTAACCCTCTTTTTCTTTAAAAAAGTAAAAATCCTGGTGTGAGACACTTAAGGCTCAGGTATACTTATTTTTTCGTGTCCTACTCAGCCTCGCACACAGGTGCGCACACAAACCTCTTTTCACAATGAGCATGGATGGACGTTTTCGGCTCATTCTTTTAAAATGCTCAAATCACTCGAAGATGCATTGTTGAGATGAAGTGGAACATGGATGAAAAGTATGCTTTTTGCTTTAAAGTACAATGAAAGTAAACTCTTAGGTCAGAGTTCACCAAACATGAATATTACAAGTTCAAGTTTGGTGAACTCTGACCTACGAGTTTACTTTCATTACTTACAGACGTGATCAATAGAAGAACAATACATCACAGTGTGACAAATTTTAAAGCTACAGATTTTGCAGTGTTGCAGGAAAGTGGAGCAGAGTGTATGTATATATATATATATATATACAGTGGGGCAAAAAAGTATTTAGTCAGCCACCAATTGTGCAAGTTCTCCCACTTAAAAATTTTCAGATGAATGCATGTGTGTGTATTTATATATACATAATAAATATACACAGTACACATACATATATTATGTATGTTGTCTGTTGAGCTTAACATAAATTGAACCCGTAAGAAAGCATTTAAATACTCATGTGTTACTGTTTAAATTGTTTGCAGTGAAGGAACTCGAGAACACAGCGAGGCATTATTGATGCTCCCCTCCCAAACCGCACCAACCTTGTCTGCCCTTGCTGTCCCAAAATACACAAAACATAAACTCTCACACACAATCTCTGCGTGCCCCAAGTGACATACGGCACATTGTGTGATTTCTGACTTTGCTCTCTGGTGCCCCTCAACGTTTATAGCCATTGGCAGTACTGAGAGAAGAATAGCCTGAGCGAACGAGCTGCCAAATTAAGATGTTTTTTGTCCCTCTGGCTGCATGCCTGCGGTCTCAGGTTTCTTTTGTTGAGATCCACTGAGATGTCCCAGCGGCACCCTGGTTTGCCCCTTCTTCACACCCACTCATTCCTCAGAGCTGTTTTCTCCTAGAGACTCTCACCTTACCGGAGATGGAGCCAAGACCACAATGTTCCCCTGACTTTGTCTCATTGCATCCCTTAACCCTGTACATGTACATGCACGCAGGTGGTGTTTGCATGTCAGTACCATTTTCCTATTTGAGACAGTGGCTTTGCTTTGTTTGTAGTCATTAGTGAGACAGTCACTCAACCAGGGCTCATTGTGTGTTGTGATCTGTTTATCCCTTCTGAAATATCCTGTCACATTTTCTCATTGCACAGCAGATTCTACTGACTCTGTTGTATGGAATTTGAGTTATTTTTTCACTTATTGAGTGTCCATGTTATTGTCTACATACAAGTATTCACTGTCCATAAGTACTTACTGTTAATTCAGTTTTTATGTTTTTTTTTTATATTTAATGAGTAATTGACATGAAATAGACATATTTTTTGGTAATGTCCTGCTGTGTGACATGCTATACTTCATACATACTTCAAGATGAGTCCTCTGCACAATCTGACTTTGTTGCAACCTAGAATTAAACGGCTGGTCTCGTCTGGCCAGAGGAGAACGGCACACTATTTCACTACACTATAATGTAGAAACTTCAAATTTCTGTAAAGCTGCTTTGCAGTGATTTGCATCGTGAAAAGCGCTATACAAATAAACTTGAATTGAATTGAAAACTCTTTTGACACACTATTTCCCTGTTTAATACTGTAAAGCTGCTTTGACACGATCTGCATTGTAAAAAGGGCTATATAAATAACGGTGACTTGACATAAAACAATTGTAAACCGCATTTCACGCATTTTGAATAATTATAATGCATGTGGATTTGATGACCTAAAATTAATCTATGATTAATTGCGAAACTACTTGAGTGCTCATGTCTTTAAAAAGTCATTTTTCACACCACAGGAGCATTTTAAATTAACTAGTGAAGGCAAAAAGGAGATTCAAATTGTGAAAACTTGCATGAAACTTGCAAAAATGAGTATGCCCATATTTAATTTTTCCTAGATATTTTCTTTTTTTTCTTCTTATTGCCCCTTTTTACTTTATTGTCCTTTTCATTTTTTTATTATTGTTAGGTTTTCTTTTCAGTTTTTATTGTACTTTTTTCATGTCTTAAGATTCTTTGTGTTTTTATCCTGTTTTTTAGTTTAAGCGATATGTGGCCAAGATGCGTGGCAAGAGCAGCACTTATAAGAAGAAACGCCAGGAGATTGCTGAGCTGAAGGTGGAGTATGGTGTTCTACAGAGGACTCAAGAGATCCTGAGAGAGCGACACACAGCTGGACAACAGCAGCTGGTAAACACACATTTATCCATCATTTTGTCGTTCTCTCTGTCCGCGAGGTCTATTAACGTTGATATTTTGTTCAAATGTTTTTTGAAGCTTTCAAATAAGTGTTTTTCAAGCCATACTTTACAACTTGCTTCATTCTCAAATGTATTTCTTTCATTTCAGTTTATTTTAATTCCACCTCCTTACATTCAATTCCAACCTGCAATTCTGCGTCCTGTTTATTACACCAATTCAAATTTAATTCAAATTCAAGAATTTAAATTGAAATAGTGCCCTGCTTAACGGCCACCTTTGTTCTTCAAACATCACTGGTGTTTTAGCTTGTCTATCAGCGTATCATATCTTATACGCACTGGTACATAATCTACCTTCCCTGTACCCGTCCCTGTCTATTCAAATTACATTAACGCTGACGTTACAGCACCTTCCTGGAAATGACTTCACACCTCTGAACCCTCCCTGTCTCTGACTTGCTAAAAGCCCATTTGACGCAGAAAGGCTGAGCTTGGGCTATTTATGATCCCGGCATTTGCTCCCTGTCTGCGTCCTATGCTGTTATTTTTGAGTAGGGGAATTTTCCTATTCCATTTTGTGGTTGGTTGCACAAGCCTGGGCCACCCCTCCTTTTGGCACCTGATCTTCTCAAACGGCCTGGGCATCAGTCTAACCCCTGCCAACGCACTCGTTCCACATGTCGTGTCATGTGCAAAGTGCATCTCTAGCAAGAGCATTACAAATGCATCAGCCTATAAAATATGTCCTCACGTCTTGTACCCAATAGAAATGAAGGATTAACATGATATAGGTAGAATTACATTCATTGATTACAGTGATAAAAAAAGTTATCAGTATTGGTAATTTACTAATCTGTGTACCTTCAATAGTGACATACCAAGTATTTACCAAACTAAACTGAAACTGACCACAGAGCCCAAACAAATCGAATTGTGAAAGGGTTGTACCACTACACCCATAATATTTGCAAAGTTCTTCATTTTCCCTGACTAGTCCAAAATGTCTAGATGAAGCTAAGTTGAGTTGAGTCGTACTGAAGTGTCTAAATGTGATTAGTCATGTAATCTCCCCAGAAATAATTTTCAGCACATTTTGTCCTATTATAAAACCCATAGCCGTTAGTTTCAGCTTGACCTGTGAAGTTCCCTCTGTACAAAGAAAATAAAGTGCTTTGCACTGCGATTTATGGCTTTGAGTTCTGGCTGTCTGTACAGACATGACCCATCAGAAAGTGTTTGAACATTACACTGTCACTGCAGACACATCCTATGGAAGCTTGTTTCCACCACGGGATAAAGAATTATAGGTTTATATTAGGGATGCACGATATATCGGCCACCATATCGGTATCGGCAGATAAGTGCTCATTTTTTCTGTTATCGGTATCGGCCTGGTAAGAAAATTTGGCCGATATCTTAAAGCCGATAAATAATGCATTATTTCCTTCAGAGACACTTCAGATGCGCGCTGTTCGTTTGCAGCCTTTTGTGCAATTGTACGTTGTAATATTGTGTTCTATCCTATTGTATATCTGATTTATCTCATATAGAATGCGTTTGGTTAAGTTAAAAGAGCGCTTCAGTTTACCGGTGATCATCTTTAGCTCAGCGCATGCAGCTCAAACAGCAGTGCACAACATTAATAACTATGATTGGGAATTTTGTGTATATAACATTCTAATGAGAACATTATTATTATAATAAAACGTTGTGCATTCTTTGGGTTTAGTCGCTGTGTTTCAGCGCATTGATATGGGAAGAGCGCATCCACAACAGGATCACACATTCTGACTATAGCATGCAATAACTGCGTCATTTTGTACATATATAAGTTGTAATATTATGTTTATGTTGTATTAATATTAATCTCAGGATGCATTTCCTTGAGTTAAATAAGCTGCCAGCAAAACGCTTCAGTTTACCGTGTTCATTCAGCTCTTCAGCTTCAGCTTGAGCTGCAGCTCAATGGCTGCTATTTAAAACAGTGGCATTAATTTGTTACTTTTTCACAATCATTGATATATTATTAATAACAACAACCACTTGTATTTTTCTCTTATTATTTTCATCAACAATATGGTTTAGTAATTAAAATCATTTAATTATTGTCCGTGCAGAGGCTATTCTGTTTTATTGATCTGTGGCGCATTCATTTTGATTCTTTACACGTGTAATGATGTCCAGTGACTTGTTTGCATTATTTATGCATTATTTTATTTATTTGTAAGACTTTTTTATGACTAAATTTGGTAATGGGAGAGTAAAAATATTTTTAAAACGTACACCGTTCAAACTAGGCTGCTTATGTTGAAGTGTTTGGGATGTGGCTTTTAATGATGAGACCTTTTTTGTAATCAGGCTCTCAAAAAGTATATAACAATTTGAATATAGATTTATCGGCCAACATATCGGTTATCGGCTTTCAAAAATAAAGAATAATCGGTTATCGGTATCGGCCAAAATTTTCATATCAGTGCATCCCTAGTTTATATCTCATAATTTGGATGATTTTTTTTAGATATAAACACAGAATTGCAGGGAAAATAAGTCAGAAATGTGAGAAACAAACTCAGTAATTACCTTTATTTTTTAATTCTGTGGCAGAAACAGGCTTCTGTAACATCCAACATTTATGTTATAGATAAAACTACATTCACAGTTATTTCATATTTTAGAATATCAAAATACAATCATCACTTTTTAATACAATAATCGGAATATTCATTAGCATATAATGTAAGACGGTACTTGTTTTTATCCATCTAGATGTGATCGTATTGCTATTGGCTGCCTGTGATATCATCGGTTAATGTAATTTTAGTCACAAAAGCAGATATGAAAAGTCAGAAGCCATTATGACATTTTGATGAAATATAATGAAAAGATTTTATTTTGGAACAACATGTTCTGATGAATCATGCACATTGACCAGGGACATTTATTATGGAAGTAAATAGGGTCAATTTTGATTTCATTATAAGATTGTCGCTACAAACATTGGCTAATATGGTTCAGATCTTGTTTGATTTGTGGGCTGAAATTATGCAGCTCGCCGTTTTTCAGTAACATTGATTGTTTACTGTATGCAAATAATCAAGCATTTCAGTAAGTAATCTAATCAAATTGACAAGGCGAATAAACATTTGTTCTATTTATGCTTTGTTTGTGTTCTGGTGCTCAGCAATCTCTGGAGGCTCAGCGGGGGATCTTGGGCTACAGCGATACTCAGGAAGAGCTGGAGAGAGTCTCCGCTATCAAGAGCGAGCTGGACGAGATGAAGGGACGAACGCTGGACGATATGTCTGAAATGGTGAGCCAGGCAGATTGGAGAATGATGCACTAGCTCTGATCTTGAAATGTGTTGCTTTCTCCAAATGTTCTATTCTGTGTTTTGGGAGACTGTCCATATGCATATGACTGGGGAACGTTAATGAGGTCATAAACTTTCTAGAGGAGTTTATTTTGCCACAGGAGTGCACAGTTTGTCTGATACAACTCCCTATTGACACCCAAGATAATCAGACATAAACAGAATGTCAGTAGAAGTGATTTGGGGAAGTTCAGTTGTTTATAAAGCACCATTCTTGTAAAGAAGGAAGTGCTAATAAAGTGTTAAACTCTTTTTGATAGATAATAATGGTAATTTTACCGGTAACACTTTAGTATAGGGACCAATTCTCACTATTAAGTAGTTGCTTATTAGCATGCCTATTATTAACATATTGGCTGTTTAGTAGTACTTATAAAGCACATATTCTGCATGACCATATTCTACATCCCTAATCCTACCCAATACCTAAATTTAACATCTACCATACTAACTATTTATAAGCAGCAAATTAAGTGTTTATTGAGCCAAAAGTCATAGTTAATGGTTTGTTAATGGTGAAAATTTGACCTTAAAATAAAGTGTGACCAATTTCCCAAACATGCTTTTTAAAAATTAAAATACCATATATTAACAAAATACTAAAACTCTGTTGTGGATAATAACTCATTATTCTTTAACTTTATTTCAGGTAAAGAAGCTGAATTCGGTGATAGCAGAGAAGAAGTCTGCTCTGTCTCCTCTGATAAAGGACCTGAGAGCTTTAAGACAGGAACACGCAGTGAGTGACAGTTTCGCGTCAAGCAAGATACTGAAGATACAAAGCCATTTGTTTCTCTCCTCCATACTGAGAATCACTATCAACTACGAAGAGCCAATCAGCATATCAGATCTGTCAGAATTGCATTCTCTTTTGTTTTGCTTGTTAAAACAGGAGCTCGCTCCAGAGTTTGAGCAAAAGAAGGCTCAGTATGACACCTGTGCTGCAGGACTGGAGAGCAACAGGTCCAAGTTGGAACAGGTATTATGGGGCTCTACCAGGGTTTTGTAACATTGATACTGAATTGAGAGTTTCTTTAAATAAAAAAAGAATAATAAACAAATATATATATATATATATATATATATATATATATATATATATATATATATATATATATATATATATATATATATATATATATATATATATATATATATATATATATATATATATATATATATATATATATATATATATATATATATATATATATATATATATATATATATATATATATATATATATATATATATATATATATATATATATATATATATATATATATATATATATATATATATATATATATATATATATATATATATTGTTATATATTATATTATAAATATATGTACATTTAATTCTCTATAAACTTACATAATTTCATTGTATGTAATAAAATAACTTGAATTTTATACACTATGGGGGAACAGCTCTTCTTTTCCCAGAATGTTTTTTTTATTTTTTTTATCAAAATTAAAATGGAACCAAACTATATTAAAGCATAAAATTATATTTAATTAATAAATAATATTACATTATGAATAAATAAATAACAAACAAACAAACAAACACACACATATATATATATATATTGGAAAAATAAAATGTATAGTCCTTTCTGATTTTTGTATATGGATATCCAAACAACATTAAGCAGGCTATTTGAACCTCAATTATTCTTCCTCTTAGTCCAGTTCAGATTCAATTTTAGCATTCTGTGGATGTTAAAATTCTAACTCAAATTCAAAGACAGCCAACCTTGGTCTCAACTTGACTGTTTTAGCATCTTATGAAATAATATTGAATATACAAGAGCAGGCAGTGATTTAATGTCCTGATGTTATACAGGAAGTGAGGATGCTCAGGGAAGAGATGGCACAGGAAGAAAGCCGATATCATCACATTAACTGCATGAGAGAGGTAAAAACCATCTTCCTCTTAGACATCAGAAATTTCTAGTCCTGTGGTTTTCTTTCACTCTCTCCTCCCCGAACTCTCTTTCACAGATTATTGAGAGTCAAATGGAGAGGGCAGCAGATCAGAGTAAGATCAATCAGTCAATGGACTTACAGGTGCGGAGGACGGCTCTCAGGTAAGAAACTGAAGATAGATCTGCTATAGATAAACCTAAAAGCTCCAGTGAAAAGACAGACGTGTACACAACACATGAATTCATGCTTCATAACTGACAAACAAATGATTCCTGAGAGACTCTTTTGAGCTGGCAGCTCTCAGCACGCCTGCCTGCCTACTGCTCAGAATGGTTGTTTTTGTCATGTCTTTTGTTTCAGTTATGCTTCAAGTATCTATTCACCCATTCCTGATCCATGCAGCCTACACATTCAAAAAGTTTAGCAGAATTTCTGCTAAATGTGGAGGCGGGCGATAGCCTTGTGGTTTAGGATTTAAGCTGTTAATACAAAGGTTGCAGGTTCTATCCTAAGTAATAGCGACTCAGGAATTGGAGAACTGCTATAATCATAAGTCATATGTTCTTTTACCATTGTCAGATTAGATCTGTTTTTCTTCCAAACAATGCAATAAAAGTTTATTTGGGTAACTATTCAATAGAAAATAACTAAATGTGACATTTAAATGGATATAGTTCACCCAAAAATTGGATGAATGAATGCTGTTATTTATTTAAATGTGTTTAGGGGGAAGTCGTGGCCTAATGGTTAGAGAGTCGGACTCGTAACCGAAAGGTTGCGAGTTCGAGTCTCGGGTATTGTTGGTGGGGGGAGTGAATGCAGCGCTCTCTTCCACCTTCAATACCACGACTGAGGTGCTCTTGAGCAAGGCCGACTGCTCCCCGGGCGCCGCAGCATAAATGGCTGCCCACTGCTCCGGGTGTGTGTTCACGGTGTGTGTGTGTTCACTGCTGTGTGTGTGCACTTAGGATGGGATAAATGCAGAGCACTAATTCCTAGTATGGGTAATTAGTCACATGTCCACATGTCACGTCACTTTATGCGTTTTAAGGTTAAAAAAACACATTATTTTCTGCATAATGTACATTATTGTTGTTCCCTCTATGCCCCGCCTATCTGAAAACCTCGTACACCTCGTTCTGAAAAGCGAGGTGTATGCTGATTGGCCAGCTATCCAGTGCTTTGTGATTGGCTGAATACCTCAAGTGTGTGACAGAAATGTTACGCCCCTTAACATACTGTGATGCCCTTTGTCCCGGCTCGACAAGACAAAAACAATAAAACCCATTACAAATGAGGCATTTGTTGCATCCAGTGGGGACATAATTACTGATTATAATGACTTATACTGTCTTTTTACGCGTTGTGTTGCGTATCACGCTGCGTAAACATAAAACCATGTCTGCATTTGTGATCGGAGAAACAACAAACAACAAGCGCTACTCTACACTGCTCAAAACTCGCGTTTGAATCGTCAGTGGCAAATTCTTTCAATATAAAAAACTTACTTACAGTCTTTGAGTTAGAATCGCCAGACTGTCTTTGCAAGGCTGGAACTGCCCCACTTTATAGAAACAGACACCAGCATTGTAGGCTACTCTCCCAGGAAACAGTCCTCATCCTCCGCAAAATGCGTTGCACACATCTGAATATTTGGATTGAACTGTTCTGGAACAGTGTTGTAAAAACTTAACCACTGATTTCTAGTTGTGTCCTCTTTTGGAAGGCCAAACAAAGTAGTTTCGCTTTCACAATGAAACACACAGCATCACACACGGCGGGCTAGAGTGAGCGGAGGCTGGCGGGCTTGAGTGAGGAACGGCGCGGCCAGCGGATTCGACAAAGGAGCGGCCGGCGGGCTTGTGGCAACCACATGTGACGACCCCAGGCTGGACTCCGCTTTGTCCACGGTGAAAGCCGATCCGGCGATTCACAGCGCGAAGTTGATGTATTTCCTCAGCGACCGGCACGAATCAGCTCTAGGCATGACGAAGCGGATATCGTCCTCTTTTGGAAGGCCAAACAAAGTTGTTTCGCTTTCACAACGAAACACACAGTGTCTCCACAACATGGCGGTGGCAGCAACAATACAACAGCAAGAATAAAAGTTACGCCTTCTTTCTTTGCGTGAACATTTGGGCGGCGTTATGCAAATCTTTCCACATTGTGACGTAGATATGTGGGGGCGTGTTAGAACGAACCATTTTAGGTAGGCGTGGTTGACTCTTAACTTTTATAAAGAATATCTCTTTGGTTTTGAGACTTTAGTCTTTGCAACTTTACAGATCTTCTTTATGCACCAAGAGTTATTCCTTTAACACTCCAAAGAGAAAGGAAAAATTGAAATCGCATCATATGACCCCTTTAATTTATTTATTTGAGTTGCAAAGACACAATTTCTAGTTTTCCATTTTATTTATAAGTTGAAGTACTAAAATGTATTAAAACTGAAACTGAAATTAAAATGCAAATAACTCAACTTTAAATTAAAAAATAACAAAGCAAAATTGCTTAAACTTTAACTAAAAATGAAAATAAATAATAAATAAAAAACTAATTCAAAAAATGAATAATTACTAAGGACAGAATGATGTTTATGCTGCTGTTCAGAAGTGATATTCAGAATGTTTATGCTGCTATTTTGCATGCAATGAAAGCATACAATGAACAGGGGCCCCTTTTGCTTAAATGTACACTCCAAAAAGTACAAATAAAGAATTATTAAAGTTGTCAATATGACTCATGCACTATATTCCACCTCTTTAGAAATCATACAATAGTTTTGTGTGAGGAACAGACTAATAATAAGTTGTTATTCACTGATTTAATTTCCTGCTATAAATATCATTCGCATATGCACATTCAATAAGGCTTTGAAAGACTTGAGAAATAGTGCACAAGGCATGTGGACTTTTTATGGTACTTTTATGTTTATTATAATTTTTTTAGAGCTTGACTATATGGCTTTACTCTATGAAAAGTAGCCACTGTATGGTTTTAGTGAATGCAAAAGAGCAGCTTGGACATAAAAAATTGAAACAGGTTTGGAAAAACATGAGAAAGAATATATAAACTAAAACAAGTATTCCTTTAAGGAATCACTATATATCCTTCTCTTACAGAGAGAAGTACATCGCGAACACGGCGGACCAGGAGTCCTTGGGCAAGGTGAGGAGACTGTCTTTGACCATCTGTCAAACCTCTCTGACTCATGACTTAGTTCCATCAGGTCATTTACTTGTCTTTAGCTCATCTGTCGGGGTCAACTTGGTGTTAGTTAAGAGCGGGGGGCCTGGCCTCCGATATTTCTGCCAAATCGTGTGGAGCATGAGATCAGTGTCACGCCACATCATGCCAGTGTTAGAACAAAGCTTGTGTAATCATTGCCCTGATGTACATCCAGTGGACCACCAGCACAGTGGAAGGAGAGACGACGACATGCCAAACTCTCCCATAACTGCCCGTCCTGCCCTTTAACTGTTTACTGCTGCTACTTTACAAGCTTTCTGAATCCAAGAATTACGGCAAAATTGACTGCCAGCATATGGATACAATAAATTGAATGGCTCAGCAAGAATTTGAAATTCAGATCAGGTATCATGGGTCAGTTTTTTTGCACCAGCCATGCTTTGAACATATGTAAATAATTGTTTTTATCTCCAATTAGCATTGGAACATGTAGCACTAGGTGTGTTTTTCAAAGCCGAAGAACATTGTGTCTCTGTGGGCTTGCAGGGTCTACGTCAGCAGGTGAAGCAGGTGCGAGAGAACCAGGAGCCCAATATGAGACAGATGAAGATGTGGAAGGACCTGGAGACTCTGTTGGAGTGCAAGAAGCAGTGCTACCTCAAGGCTCAGAGCCAGGCCCCTATTGGGCACGTCATCCAGGATGTTGGCAAGGATATGCTTGTTCTGTGATGCCATTTCCCTTGTAAAAGTAGTTTTTCTGGTCATTATTATATGAATTATATAAATAACTGTATACATTGTTAAATATGTAAAGTTGTGTGTATGTTAATTTGTATAATAAGGAATAGTTCACCCAAAAATGAAAATTTGCTAAAAAAATTACTTTCTCTCAGGCCATCCAAGATGTAGATGAGTTCTTCTTTATCTGAACAGATTTGGAGAATATTAGCATTACATCTCTTGCTCACCAATGGATACTCTGCAGTGAATGTGTACCATCAGAATGAGAATCCAATCAGCTGATAAAAAGATCACAAAGATCCACAACTGGACAAAATACAAGTCCATAATAACACTTCCTTCAGTGAAAAAGTCCACCACCTGTTGTCCTCTCGCATCAAAATCCATCAACATGTTTGTTTAAAACGGTTTTGGACCATTTTTAGCATGTAAACAGTCCTTTATCTGTGCATATTTCTCTCCCGATTCAGACAAGATTACTTTTTCACTGGAAAAAGCAATATTATCGATAAAGGACTAGTATTTTAATCAGAAACAACAGTTAAAGTTGGTTAAAAACGTCTTAATGTTGATTTTGTTTCTAACAAACAATCATGTTTTTACTTCACAAGAAGATAATGGAGTCGTGTGGATTAATGTGATGTTTTTATCAGCTTTTTGAACTCTCATTCTGTCGGCACCCATTAACTGCAGATAAATTTCTCACAATCTGTTCTGAAAAACTCATCAAGATCTTGGATGGGTGAGTACATTCTAAGCAAATTTTCATTTGTGGGTGAACTGTTCCTTTAAAACCGCATATTAGTGCATATAAATGCATTCTGAAGTGAAAGAACTTCAGTCAAAGAATCCTAAGGGTTGTCTACTAACATCCAACAAGTCCCTAGTCTCGGGTTTGACACATCTTTAAGAACAGAGCTCCAGTCTATGTGTCCAAAGATAATGCCCTACAAAGTGCTACACTTTGGATGCGTCTGCGCTCCAGGTTATTTTGGGAAACAACAGCCATGACCTTGGGCAGAAGAGCTGTCCAATTTAGGAATTCAGTTGGATCTCCTTTTGTTGCTCTGTCAGGGTAGTGCTACAGTAGTAAATGGACTGACTTGTCCAATCATCATGCGTGAGTAGCTTATTTACTAAATGTTCATTTTCTTCTTCTTTCATTTTGCACTGTATGGACAAGTGAGAAGACTGCTAGGCAACTTCACCTCTGTGTTTTTTTTAAAGTTATACAAAATGTATCAAAGTCATACACCTTGTAAATTAAAGATTTATACAGTTATGTAGATATTGTATTTATTTTTAACATTCTAATGTGGAATATTTAGCTGTTAAGATCCTGTATATTGATCCTGCAGCAACAGGTGCCATTCTGGTGATGCTTTTATTAATCCAGTAGAACTTTTTCTCTTTCTTTCTCTACCTGGTTCATCCATTCATCCAGAATATTTGAATGAGAATCAATATCACCACAGCATACCCATAAGCACATATAAATGGATCCTTTCTATAAAAATGGATATGCTAGAGTTCCAGGGTGGTAATTCATTCATTTATTCATATATTAATAATATAATAATATGCATAGGTCCCCCTGAGTAGGTGTAAGCACTGCATCCTGGCGTACTGTTGCGTAGCAGTGTGTCTGCAGTATAATGGACATCTGGCAGCTTAAATGATTTAATACCGAGTCAGTTTCATTCAAAATGGTCTCATCATATTCACAATTAGATTTTCTTTTATTAACAATTAGAATAGAATTGCTAAAGTTGTATTAGTTTTACATTCCAAAAGTATGTAATAGGTGATAAAAAAGAATACATCTTTTAAAAATTAGTTTAAAATAAATGAGAAGTTCTTAAAAGGCAAGGCAAGTTTATTTATATAGCACATTTCATGCACAATGGTAATTCAAAGTGCTTTACATAAAAGGAATTAAATATAAATAATCATAAAAATAATAATCATCACAATATAAACAAGGAATTTAAAAACTTGATTTAAAATAAATTAAAACAGTTAAGAATAGAAAATTATTACAGTACAATCAGTTCGGACGTTGCACAGTGCTCATTCAATAAATGCACAGCTAAACAGAGTTTTGAGTGGATTTAAATGTGGCTAATGTTTTAGCACAGCATAATAACTAAAAGCGGATTCCCCTTTGTTTTGCGAACCCTTGGTATTTCTAACTGACTCGATCCTAATGATCTGAGTTGTCTGTTAGGTTTATATTCAGTGAGAATATCTGCAATGTATTTAGGTCCTAGGTCACATTGAGTGATTTATAACCGAGTTATAGTGCTTTAAAATCAATCCTAAATATAACTGGAAGCCAGTGTAAAGACCTGAGGACTGGTGTGATATGCTCAGATTTTCTGGTTCTAGTCAGAATCCTGGCAGCAGCGTTCTGGATGAGCTGCAGCTGTCTAATGGTCTTCTTGGGAAGGCCGGTGAGGAGACCATTACAATAGTCCATCCTGCTGGTGATAAAGGCATGGACAAGTTTCTCCAAGTCTTGACTGGAAACAATGTTTTTGAGATGATAGTATGCTGATTTAGTTAC